AAAGGCACATAGAGGTACCAACATGAAACTTTTAATAATCTCTTCTCTCGTCAGGAGAGTACTGTCAATCTCGTTTACGACGTGCTGCTACAATATTGTTGAGCGTGAACTCGTTGACGATGAAACGTGTAAAATAGAAGAACGATGAAGTGGAGGAAGAGAAGGACGAGGTTGTGAACGAAAAGGGAAAGGGTAGTACCTACTTGAGTTTCTAATGACTCCAACCGCCCGAAGCGTTTCTAGTTATCAACGCGAATGAAACTGTTTAGCTTCGTAACAACGACAGCTTCTCGAGTTACTTTCGCGAGTTCTATTTGATTGAAACAATGAAAGAAAAAAAAAAGAAAAAAGAAAAAAACGAATGACAAAAAAAAAAACATCCAAAATGTTATCTCTTTTCTTGTATTGTGTGTGTACATGGGCGCGTGCGTTTGAACTTTTTTTTTTTTTTTGGGGGGGGAGAATTTTTTTCTCTCACTTTCTTATATCGTTAATAAAAGTTTTCTTAGTAAAGTAAAAGAAACGAGAAAGTTCTTGCCAAATTATAATATCTTGCATAGAAAATTGGCTATTTTCCACGTTTCAAAAGAACCCTCTTTCTCACTCTCTTTCTTTTTCTCTAACATCTTAGTATTTTGTTTAACAAAAATCTATCTCATTTTCTATGCCACGTTCACGAGCATTGTACCGTATAAGGTAGATGCAATTTCTTGCTTTGTAATCCCCTAGAACGATTCTTTTTATTGCTCGTTAAATTTTCTCTCGAGAAGTTCGCGCCATAGAAGAACGGAATACATTAAAATCATTTGGAGAAAGGGAAGAGAAGAGAAGAAGTTAGCAGGAAGAGATTGAGGGGGTAAAAAAGGGGAGTAAAGGGTTTTTATAAAAATGTGTTTGGTCGTAAGAGACACATATATATATATATATAGTATATCTTCAACACCTACAAGGACATTTCGAGAGGATTATTATTTAATTAGTTTGTTGAGAGTGAGATATAGAACGTAAACTCTCTCTCCTAGATAGGAGTAAAGGCAACCTTAGAGAAGGGAATTACTATCGAAAATGATTTTCCATTCATCCTTTTATTACAAAGGTAAAAGGAAGAACCGTTTCTGATAGAAGAGTGTACGTGAGAGAGAGAGAGAGAAATCGTTTCATACCTTTCTAAGAATATAAATTCATTTCTCCGTCCAATTAACAAAAGTATTTTCAATGAGACGAAGCAATAGATAAAGAGTGAGTAAGAAACAGATAGAGAGAGAGAGAGAGAGAGAGAGAGAGAGAGAGAGATAGTTATATAAGAAAAAGAGGTTGGTTTATTCAATTAAGGAAGCGACGATTCACGTATAAAGGAACGAGTTTTCCAAGTGACGAAAGAGTCGCGTAAACAAAGCTGTAAATTTTTCCTCGATGCTTTTACTTTCTCTTTCTCACTCTCTTTCTCGGTATTTTTAATTGAATCGAAATTGCGCTGTACTTGTCTTTCTCGCAAAGTTAAAATCTTTCCCCGAACGAAATGAGAAAAGTCTTAACGAGTACGATCGACGTTACTTTCAGATATTAAGAGTTATATTTTCATCGGGTTTGAAATTATCTTTATCTTTTTCACTTCCTATTTCTCTTTCTCTCTCTCTCTTTTTCTTTTTCTTTTTCTTTTTCTTAGTCGAAGAAATCAGATAAAATTTCCATCCAACCTAAGAGAGCGGACACATCTTGGCTTGTCGAGATTAATTCTAGCCAATAATCGTTTTGCGGCCCATTAAACCGCTTGCTGTTGCTCACCACTGGTGCCTACTATGGTTATATCTATCCCTTTCCCTTTATTCCCATCAACCCTTTCTTATATATATATATATGTATATACGTTGGATGTTGACGGCATTATTTTCTTCCTACGATATTTTGTCTTTTATCAATTTAATTGTAACCAAAATCCAAGTCAATTTATTTTCGTGACAACTTTTTAATTATCGTTATTATCATTAAATAAATAAATTAAAGGAAATATATAATATAAAAGATAGAAAAGGTTTTTTGTTTCTCTGTTGTTTATAAATTATAGTTAATATATTGCGTGAAGATAATTTATTTCTATATAAAATTAGATAATCTTTAGATATATATATAATTTAATATTTAATAATAATAATTCAATATTTAATTTATAATTATACTATATATATATAGAGAGTTTTTTTGTATTATTTTATAATAAGGTTTTAAATGACCTAGGTTGATAAAACATTTTTTTTTTTTTCATATTTTCATCGACACCGTTTGACCGAAAAGACTTCAGTCACCACGTATAAGAAAAAAAATGATCATTTATTATTAAATTTATGTAGAATCGTAGATAATAGACATTTCTTCAATGTAGATTTTAATTATTCTCTCTCTTTTCTCTTCTAGAAAAGTTAGTTCTCAAATTTAATAAATCGTGTTCTACCTTTTTTCCCCGAGTAATCGCAGATCTCTAATAAAGTATTCGAAGATCTCATTTCTAGGGTGATTCGATGTAAAATTCAATTTCATCGTCTTAGGCGCAATTAGGTGGGCCTAATCGAATTAAAAGTACTTCAGGCAGAGGTAAAGACAGAAGAGAAGAAGGATCAAGGATTAACAAAAAGTATCATAAGCTTTATATTAATCCTATGACCTAATTCTTATATAATATATATATATATATATATATACAATATATTCTTTCCCTTTTATCCTCAACTTCATTTATCTCACACGACTAATCTCTTCGTTCATTTTTGACAATTGAAAGCTCAACGTTAAATCATCTTTACTTTTATTACAATCATTTTTGATCGAATCAACACTTATGATTCTTATTATTATCTTTTTTCAACATTTTCATCAAAGCTATCACCTCTATAGTGTCTTTATGTTTTTTTTTTTCGTATGAGAATTCTCAACGTAAGAACAAATGGCCCTTCGAAGAAATTATTTGACTAACTTCCCATTAAAATATATCTCCGTTCGAGTAAGAAAATATTTTCTCGTCTAGTACGAGAAAGAATCCAAAGAAATGAGAGAAAAAAAGTAAAAAAAAAAAAAAAAAAATATAATAAAAATTGTGTGCGAGTTGACCAATAAAGGAAGGAAACCAAAAGTAAAAGTAAGCAGATATTATTCTATATGAACCTTCGAATCCATAAATCAATTTGAAAAATTGCCAACCAACGTGACAAAACGGGACCAAATCGTATGTAGTTTTCGGATAATCGTAGACACCTCTCTCTCTCTCTCTCTCTCTTTTTTCCTCTCTTTCTTTTAGCACTTTCAAACTTTAAGCTTGAACTTTTTCTTCAGAAATATTGTTTTTTAGACCATTTTCAAAGAATAGCCTAGCGTATGTGGCCCTTTTGTACATAAGGTTGTACCCAAGTACAACCTTTCTACGTACCTTACGCACGTATATATATATGTATACATTTCTCACAATGGAGAGTAATAGTAATACTTTCTAACTCGTTCGGAAACGAAATGTTCGGAGAAAAATAGAAGGGAACTTATACCTCCGTAAAAAAGAGAGAGATAGAGAGATAGATAGAGAGAGAGAGAGAGAGAGAGAGAGAGAGAGAGAGAGAGAGAGATGATGGTAAAGGAAAAAGTTTTTTCGTATCGAACTCTTTTCTGTCTCTCTTTTTTTCTTTCTCTCTCTCTCTATGTTCTCTCATTCTATGCGTGAAATCTTTTAACGGCTATTAAACTTACTCGAGGAAAAAGTTTCTTCTTCTTCTTTTTCTTCTTCTTCTTCTTCTTCTTCTTCTCTTTTTCGATATACTTAATACTTTTTCGATTATTCCATTAAAGAAAAAAAAAGAAATTAAATTAACTATACAATGATATTCATATTAATTAAATAGAACTATTTTTGCAAACATTATTATTTTTTTTTTTTTTTAATATAAAAATTATTTTATATCATTACTTATTGATTTAAAATAAAATAGTAGAGAATTTTTAATATTTTTATAAATCACCGAGGTACAATCTAATAATTTTAACTAATATATATTTCATTGTAAAGTTACAATTATAAAAAAAAAAAAAAAAAAACATTTAAAAATGCAAACTTAAAAAAAGGCCATTGGCTAGTAATGAATGAATTTTACGTTCGAATTAACAATATTAAATTTTAAATTCATCTACGAATAAAAAAATCAAATAAATGTTTGTAGACGATCAAATTAATATTTAGTCCTTCCTGCATTTTATTTTCTGTTCAAATACGCTATCGTAGACGATAAAATTCATATTTAATTCTTCATTTATTCTATTTCCTGTTTGAATACGCTATTGATCCTTAGTGAAAGGAAACTCCACTTTGAGATTGGGAGAGAACGATATTCTGTTGTTTAAAAAAACAAAGTTCTTTTATGCATAATTTCCACTACGATCTTTACCAAAAACAAAAGCTGTACCCATCGGTTTACTATGGGGGGGGGGCGAGGATCCTTCTGCTATTGGTCGATATTATTCATAATCTCCTTCCCTCTCCAAAGGGGTGTTACTTATTTATGATATAAATATGTGATAGTCTGCAGTCAATCAAGTCTTAGTCTATCAGTTCTTAATCTGTTTCAGTCTGCATATCTGTTTATCCGTCTGTATTAGTCCTTACTTCTCAGTTCAATAATTATACTTTCAGTCTGTTATATTTGTCTGCGTATATATTATCAGTTAGTTTATCAGTTTATCAGTCAGTCAGTTGGTTTTATATTCATAAATTTTTGTTCGTATTCTGTATTTTTGTAACCCCACGACTTTTTGTAAACTTTTCATAAATACCGCTCAACATCACATAATTAATTAAATAAACTATCACACATATCATTCATCATCAGTTTATTATATTTCTCTCTGTTTGAACCTTACATGTTTTACATTAAAACGTATTGGAAAATCAAATAGTAAACTTGATAAATGTTTAAATAATTATTTAGAAATTTATCTAATAAATATTATTAATGAAATGATTTCAGGAGAGAATCCAGCAGCGATGCAGCATGGTGGAAATGGTTGTTCAAGGGCACCATTGATTTTAATCATCCTTGCGACATTGTCATCACTTTTGAGGTGACCGTGATACCTGATGAGGTGCTGCTAAGTAGCTCCGCGATACGAATGGTGCTAATTAATTTTTTATCACGAGCGAGGACATAGGAATCGGCTGAATCGAAAAGAAAAAGATGAAGAAGAAGATAAAGAAGAAGAAAAGAAAAAGAATTTGGAAAATAGAAATGAAGAAAAAGTTATGAAGAATGATGAAGGAAGAAAATGGTATAAAAAAAATTGAAAGAATCGAAGAAATCTCATCCTGTTAGCCGAGTGTCCACCGTGTTCCTTTGAATAATTTCACGATTTAAAAAGAAATACGTTCGAAGGAGTAATTATTAAGTTTAAATAAACTCTGTTTTAAATTGGTCTCGTGTCAAATCAAAAAATCTCTTATACATATACATATATATAATAACAATTCTGAGATAAACTCGAGACCAAAACAACATTTTACACGAGCTCAAAGCAACGAAATTTCATTTCCGGTGTTCAATAGTTTCAAATTCGTCGCACGAACGTTTATATCGATCACGATCTTATAAAATGTTATATTACGCGTGTGGAAACTCGTACGAATAACAAAAAAAAAATGGCACGTTCCAAAATCGTTGCGAGCATACTTTATCTTTGCCCGATACGAAGGGATAAAAATAATAATACTAATAATTATTAAATAATAATACTAATTATAATACTACTAATAATATTAATAATAAAAATGAAGGGAATAAAAATAAAAAAGAAAAAAAATCATGGACGTCGAGTGACTGGACATCCGATACTGTTATATTATATATATATATATATATACACATATTATATATATATAAGCAAACACGCGCACACGCACGTACGCATACACACACAAACAAACACAATCCTACAAACATACATCGCATTTTATATGTATACGTATTCGTTAGTATCACGAAAAACAATTCGTGATTCGGTGATGAGTATGAACGATGAGAACCATAATTCAAATGAGAACGAATGGATCAATGACGACGACATCATTTTTTATTCATTTTTGTTAAATAAGAAAATATATCAATTTTTGTTTCTTGAGTTTCGAAATGCGAGTTTAAGTATCTACGATATCGTACGTAATGAAACAATGAAAAAATAAAATAATAATGTCGATCCTAATCAAACTTACGATTGACATTTGCTATTCAACATATCAACTCAATTTTCAACGTACTGTATAGATACGTATATCGAATAAAAAAAGGAAGAAATGAAAAGATGGTAGGTCAAATTTTTTTTTTCAACATTCAGATGAAAATGTAAACGAGAGCTTTAAGCGAAGACAGTTCGAGAATTAATTTAGTGACATTTTCAAATGAAATCGTAATTCGATAATACTTAATGAGAAAAAATTTTTTACCATTTTCCGATAAAAAATAGAAGTCGAATAAAATGATCGAGCTTATCAATGAAAATAATAATAATTCTTTTTGGAACATACATAGGCGATTTCAACGTAGAATCGTTAATAAAATATGTCAAATCCCTTATGTGAGTAACCCCCGAAGCGTTTACTAACCTGTGAACTATGCAAATATGCTTTCCACGTACGGGCTAGTTGGATATAGTAAATTTAGCACTTTGATTATCGACCCGCTCACGAAGGATAATCATCATTTTTGCAAATGTATCGTAGATCGATAAGTAAAGTTAAATTCGTAAAGTTCGATCTATTTTATCCCTAATCACGTTTATTTCGCTTTATCAATTAATTAAATTCTTTTTTTTTAAACAAAATATAAAAAAATAGGTCATCACCTGCCATATTCCCAAAAAAAAAAAAAAATTTAGAGAGAGGACTAGAAGCAAATTATTTTCAAAAGTTAAAATAATTCGTTAATAATCTGTCGAACGGGGTTGGCTGATTGACACTCGTCAACGTCATTGCATATGAATTAGCCGTAGTTAGTTACAGGATTTATAGGTGAGTACGTTGAAAGGCTTGTAAATTAATCTACGGGCCTGTCATCGAATGTCGTTTCTCGTTCGTGCCAAATACGAACTATTTAACGGAAAACGAGAGGTCATCGATCCGAACTTTGATTAACATGACAAATGATTGCATCTATGAATGCATATATATATATATATATATATACGTATGTATGTATGTATGTGTATATGTATGCGTGAATGCATTTTATGTGCGTATACGAGAACTTAACGATATACGTCAGACAATTTGAGCATTCAAAAAATCACTTATTGGTCCGAGATTTGAAAAGAAAAAGAAATTAAATGTAAATTCGGTTTACACTTTTTAGATTTTCCCTGCTATCGAATCGAGACAAGTTTGTTTGGTAGGTTGGTACATATCAGGATACAAAATACACCAGAATTGTTCGTGTTGATCAAAGGAAGCAGAAAAAGAAAGAAAATATAAGATAAATTGTAATTACACATAGTTTTGTTATAGGTACTTTGTATTTAATACAAAAACATTTATTTATTTCGAAATAAAAACCAAATTTTCCTATTCGTATTTAATCACAAAATGATAAAAAAAATTGTAGTGTTGATCGAACGAACGAAAAAAAATTTTTATGTTACTGGTTATATAATATAATAATTTTATTATTGTTTAGAAAGAAAAGTAAATTGTTCGATTGGAAATGGTATCAATGACTATAAATCGTTAAGTAGAACTACAGGACAATGATGCGCACACGGACTGTTAAATCGTTTGTGGGGATGTCCTGTGTTTTCTCTTTTTCATCCCTTTTCTGTATTCCGGTACCACCAAAGCTGCTGCACCCTCCCTCTCTCCTTCCTTTTCCCATTTCCCTTTCTCTTTCCCTCCCACTCCTCTCACCCCACCCTACTGCTGTTCCATTTCTCACCCACCTCAAGCCCATATAATACGATAATTTAACGGGAGGCATTATTGAACGTTGCAGCTGGAAAATATTTCAAACTGGGGGCTAGGGAAAGCCGTCGCGCAACAACCACATCCGCCTGCACCACTGGCACTGTTCGTGATAAATTTAATTATTACGCCGCACCACGGTTATCCACCATGGTCGAATAACGAAAAATCGTACTACTTGTTCTCTACCTTCCTCTCTTTCTCTCTCTCTCTCTCTCTCTCATGTTTTTGTTTTGGTATCTGGAAGAAAAACATCGTTGATTGAGTTAACGTTTGAAGAATATTAATTTTGCAATCTTAGTTCGATAATCCGACAGAAAAAATTTCAAGCTCTAAGATCTTCTTCATTTTCTTTTTCTATTCGACGAATTAAACGTACTTTTATTTTTTAAATAGAAAACAAAAATAGATTGATTGAATATAGTCTTAAATTAATACTTCACTTATTACTATCTTGTGTCTGAGATAAAATAGAAATAACATTTTATAAAGAAATTCTCTCTCGTAAAATAGTTGAACAAAGTAAATACGATAGTAATGGATAAAAAAGTATTTCTATTTGTTCTTTTTATTTTTTTATTTTTTTTTTTCACAAAAATTCGTTAAAAAGAAGAAAAAGTGGTGAAGGATATACCACTGAATTCCTATATATAGCGTTTCACTATCGATTAAAACGGAATAACCGAACGTAAACCAACAATCCACTTGAGAAGATATTAAATATAATAATATCCACTTATAAAAAGATATAGGATATTAAACGTTCAAGTCAGACTATCGGAAATACAAGCAAAATTGTTTTTCTTTTTATCTCCTTGACTGTGAGAAGTGAAAAGACTGAGAGAGGCGGTCAATGGGGAAGGTGAGGGGGTTGAGGATAAAAAAAAACGAAAGACTATCATTGAAATTTTCAATTCGTACTCGATGTTATTAATCGAAACAGATCGATGAGATTTTATCGCGAAAAAAAAGTAGTAGAATCGAAGATATCTCTGGCATTGATGGGATCGATAGTATTGGTGAAAATTTAAAAACTAAGATAAGATATGGCACGATACATTGATAACGACGTTTATAACGACTTTATGGGGGTTTTCTATAGATGATACTATAGTATACTATATACTATAAATAGTTTTAGTGAGTTAAAATCCCGTTCGAGTGTATTCTCTCATTGTTTCACTTTTTACTTCTTCTCAGTATTTTTGTTTGTATATTTCTCTTTAACTATCTAGAAGATTCATAAAATATAACTATAGATAGATAAATAGATTGTTATAGAATGATTTTGTTTTCGATCGTGTTCTTTGTATTCTACCTAGTGTAATAATCTTTGTTTATTCGTAGTTTCGTTTATCTTGTTCAGTTATTTCCCTTTCGTAAAATGTTACAAAGTGCAAATAGTAGTAGATATCAATGCTAAGATTTTAAAATTTTGTTCCAGTTTATGTTTATCTTAGATGAAAAGATCGAAATACACGTCATTATTAAAATTGTAGAAACAATATTGATAAAAGATTTAAATTAAATGACGATATTTTCGATATTAAATTCATAGATAAGCTCGATATAAGATTATTTCTTTTTTATCTCAAATAAATAAATAAATATCAATCTTCGTGATGTTGCTCTCAATATTCTCAACTTGTATTTTTTTCCTCAACGAATATATTTACACACGTATATAAAAAATAATACAATAAATGTAACAAATACAATGAGATTACTAGAATAACTTTCAATTCGAATTAAAAATGCGTCGTTGCGTCCGTGCGTTTGATATAAAGAAATAAAAAAAAAAATCGAATGAAAAAAAGAAGAAAAAAAAATATAAAAATTAAGAAAAATGTTTAAAACAAGGAGAAGAAGAAGAAGAAAAAAAATACACGAAACCAAACGAAAAAAGATACTACAGTGATCCTTTGACGAATAAGGTGTTGACAGTTGTTTTTTTTTCTTTTTGTTGGCAATATTAAAGTCGTCGATCGATAATCACACTTCCCGTCATGCCCATAGCAATTTATCCGTAAGATAAACGATAAAGAAAAAAAAAAAACGAACGAGTCGAGGTCTTCTAATAAATCATTGTAATTTACTGGCACTAATAAACGATCATTAATCAGTTAAGCTGGGCGAACGAGATTGTGCGTAAAAAATAATGAATGAATGAAATAAACAAAGATAGAAAGATGAAGAGAACAAGTGTATGTGTGTGTATATGTGTTTTTCGTGTATGTCTGTTGAATAGAAGCGTGTATGATTATATGAAAGTGAGAACTAGTGTTCTAAGTTCGATGGAATGACAACGTGAAAGCTCAAGGAAACGAAAATAAAAAGAAAAAAAAAAATCCATTTAATGTCGATATTCGCTGTTCACTATTTGTAAGATTCGGGAAAGGAGAATACAATAAAATTCATAGTACTTAATCTTCCCATGATTTTTTCATTCTACCTTGTCTTTTTTCTTATTCTTTTTGTTTCTATTATACAGCAACAGCAGCCCATAAATTCGCAGTTTTTTCCTAGTAACGGTAAGTCGATCATTTTCATAGATACTTTATGTTATAATATTATACGATAAATATATATGCATTTTTTGCTTCTTCTTCTTCTTTTTTAAAATTTAATCTCGTATAAATAATATTTTAATGATATAAAAAAATACGACAAATATTAGTCTCGTTAATTCGTATTTTAGCATTTCATCTAAGCTCTTTATGAGATTTTAAAATAACGAATTTAAATGCTAGTTGAAACTAAAGAATAACCAATGGAAAATGATCAAAGTATTTTGTGAATTCACGTTTCTTTTTTTTATATATTTCATTCAATCCTAATTCCAAAACGTTACCATTGAACGCTAATCTTTAAAGTTTTTCTTTTTCCTTTTTTCAAGAACATTGTAAAATTTTCATTTACTTTGACTACTTTTAGAAACAAAAAATGAAATAAAAAGTAAATCATATTTATCATTTAGCCACTCATCTCGCGACTATGAGAATTTCCTTGGAAGTCGCGAGAAATGTCAACGTTTCGCTCAGTTATTACAAGACTTTTGAAAAGCCTTTACGCACGGTTTCAGTTTTACTCAATGTGGAACGAGTTAGATAACTAAGAATGGAACGATGTGGATGGTAAATGGGAGGAGTTGCTTCTTTGTACTCAATGAAGTCGGTTCGAAGTATCTGCTGAGTGATAAACTCGCGAACGAGTCAGACTGCTTGTAATAGTCCTTGCAATAGTCGGAAGACGAAACTTCAACAGTATTATAACCGTGAAGCGGAAAGTGTCGCTAGAACTGGAACCATGAACTTATTTTGATCTCTTCTCTTCTTACAGCTGCCGATTTAAAATATATCATAAGCGAGTTGTCTTTCTTACGTTTCCCGAGAGTTAGTGAAGGTTTAGGAAACGTTAATTTATATTACTAACTTACTTTCTTACAACTAACTTAGCTAAGAATAAACTTATCATTTCGTAAAGTCCTGCTACTTGTTCGTTTAATCGTTGAATTACGGTAACAAAGAAGCATATTAATTTGTATGATTAATTTATACTACTTATATTTTATATCACTGATTTATACTACTCTTTAGTTTATAATTGACCTATGCTACTTATATATTTAGTTTTTATTTATATTACTGTCTATTGTATCATAAAAAAAGTATGAGTAAAGCCCGCGTTTGTGGCTTGATATTAAGTAGAAAAAATCAATTTTCATATATTAATGTTCAGGAAAATATTGATTAATACTACTTACTTTAATTCTATATAATAATACTTAAAAGAAAAGAAATATATACGAACAGTCTACTTAAATCTCATTTAGATTTATTTTCTTTTTCAAGAAGTTTATTAGATGAGAAAGATAATTTAGTAAAGTTTACGTTTCAGACGAGTTATCGCGGCAGTACTCGAGACACTCGTATCTACTTTCTTGTGTATGTGTATGTGTGCGTGAGTGAGAGAGAAAGAGTATATACAAGACTTTAGACGCGGTGCGAGAGCATATAGCTCTCCGTAAGAGCGGTAAATCAGAAGGACGCGTCCGCCAGTCGTACGCGCTGAAAATGTCGGGGGTGAAGGGTTGAACACGTTGAAGTATGTTCCCGACCCTAGTCCAAAGAGGGTACGACGAGAGATCGTACACGCGAAGCACGCACGTGTATTCGTTCGCGGCCGGTCCCGTTATTTCGTTTTCTCCTCGTAATTTCTCCTACCCGTCCAAACCCCACACCCCCAACAGCAATGCTTCTTTCGCGTTCGTTAGTTGAACCTACATCACGAGCTTTCTGCTCCAAAGGTTCGACCCGGTTACGTCCTACGTTACACTTAACATTTATTCTTTTCTCCTTCTTCTACGTTTTACCCTTAACTTTTTTTTTCTTTTCGTTCAAATTTTTTTTTTTTCAACTTTTGCTGCTCGATGAGATACATTGTTTTTTTTTCTATTTTTATTTTATTTTATTTGATATTTGTACATTTGTGATTTATGGATATTAAATTAAAGAAAGATTTATTGTTTTGTTTTAACGTTAGCACGTGTAGTTGCGTCGATCAAAATCAATATTAATTATTAAATGTATTCCATTTTAAAATATCCATTTATATATAAACGTTGAATATAATTTCATTCATCAAAAATGTTATTTGATAACTTCTGACCTGTCGCATATAATTTATACTCAAAATGAACCACCTGAAACTAATATAAACGTAGATTTCATTTTTAGTTATAGACAGGAATAATGAAAAGAGAGAGTTCATAAAGTTAAAACTTATTAAAACGTTGAAATATATTTTTCATTATTTTTTTTATCACGAATAAGATGAAAGAGAAGTTTCATTTAAAAAAAGAAAAAAAAAACATTATAAAGAGACAGTCTATTAATTTTATACACAAATACGTTCTCTGTATTCACAAAAGTTTTGTCAAAAGAAAGAAAGTTGAAGAAAAGTATTATATTTTTCTGCGATTATAATATATTATATATATTTGATATTTTTTATTTTTGTTTTAAATGCAAAGTAGTATAGGTTACAGTTGAACACGACAAGAACTATATCTTCGAGAGAAAAGATAGAAGGAAAAATATATCACGTTTCTCCTGTGACTTTACCTTTTTCATTCGTGGCATCTTTTGCTCCCTTTTGGATCGCATGACGCGCGAAGGGTGCAGGCAACATTGCTTGCTAGCCGTAGCAAAAGGGGAAAAGGGAGGATTGAGAAGAAAGATAGAAGAGAGAGGAGGGGGTAGAGGGGGGAGGGAGGGGGGTGGGACGTATGCTTCGTCATAATTTTACATTGCGGTAACACGTACAACATAGTCCGCCACGTCGCACGTGGAATCTCACAGTGCATACCGTTACCAGGTTATGCATCATCCTGCCTCTAGTAGAGTAAAAAAAAAAAAAACAAAAAAAGAAAAATGAGAAGGAAGATGGGAAAGCTAACTTATTAACGCAAAGAAAAGTAAGGGAGGGGGAGAGAGAGTGAGTTGTATTAGCATACGACTGCCACATTGCTATTCGTCGAAAACTTTCATATTTTTATGCTTATAACATAAACGAAAGAGAACACACACGTTGAAACATATTTTCAATTCCTTTTTTTTCCATTTTAGTTTAACAATTCGATTGAATGAAATTTTGTAAATAGTTCTTTTTAGAAATAAATAAAAAAAAGTAACGATAGGCTTAGGGATTCAAATCTGTCGTTGATAAATTTAATGGGGGGAAATAAAAAAAGAAAAATTAGAAGTATCTTTGGAGAGTAGATAACAAATGATTTACAAAGAGAAACTTTAGAATGTATGATATAGTGAAATCGTGTGTGCGTAGGTTAGGTAGTATCGACTGTCCTAGGTTGTCTGTATTAGTCAGTCTACCAAGCATGTAGATCCAAACGTTGGTGTTTACATGTGTGTCGGTAGCAAGTGTGTTGGTAAGCACGGA